TGGTTGGAATACTCGCCCACATCGATGAGAACAGCGGCCTGGCCGTTCATAGGCCCTTTAACAAGTACTTCAGAATCGCAGGGAATGAAAAATTGCCAACTCGGAAGTACTCATCAAAGAAGAGGGGAGTTATGCGTAAGACAATATAATTCACACAGAGTTGAGGCAACAATTGAGAAGCGGGTCATCTGATGAGCGGATTCTCTCGTCCAGCAGTTGCCCAGACTCAGACGTCACTTCAAGACAAATACTTTGGCTTATGAGACGCAAATAAATTTATGATACCACATGGAATGCATGCGAGTCTGTCGTTACCACTGTAGTCACCATCTGAAGGTTAGGGGGTGTCGAGCTCGGGATTCGAGTCTCCCTGCCAAGTTTATTCCAGGTTAGTCGGTGAATTTGAAAGGCACGTACATGCTTATGGAGTTACTGTCTCAGCAAACGCGTTGTTGGGGTTCGAGGAGACTTCTACATTGCTACTGCACACAGTCCTCACCTGTGGCCCCGCACAGCTGTTGCCTGCAAGGGGGCCACACTCAACTAGCACTCATCGGCGGGCGGTAATTACAATGTCTGCGACGGGCGCAGATGACGTCATATGAGAGAAAGTCTTAGGTCGACACGGTGGTAACGGCCTCCTTGCGAAGCGGACATGCGCCGATATTTTGTCTTTGCCAACATCATCTTCCGCTTCCCGGACCAAACGAAGGTGACGTGCACGCATCCTTGCTCGCATCATTGAAGAATACCAGACTACTCCCTTGTCCAGCATGAGCAGCGTGACGTTTTTATGACGAAGGTTATCTGTGTGGTGCAGAAGGCCGAACAAAACATGCCTTGTTGTATCGGAGATGAGGCTTCAGCTACAACCACGCGGGGGACTGCAAGGTGAGAAAACAGTGGGTAAGTTCAATAATGTAATTGTTGACAGGACTGGAGGTCGGTTTGGCTTTTGCAATCGCGCGATTATCTGTCTGGAATGTATGCAAGTCCCGGGGGACGATTTTTGAGCCTGTGGCTGGCTGCGCCAAAAACGCCAAGATCTGTTCGGCGACAGTGTTAAAGAGATCCGAATACTACTGTCGAGGTAAAACGGACTATGAATGAAGGCGAAATTTCGAGTTCCAGGTGTACGCATAAGTGAAGAAGAGTCGAGCACCGGAACATTGTGTTTATTGTCCTGAGCTTTCAGACTCGTACAGGAGTCCATCGTCAGAAGTAGCGGCAGCAGCAGAACAAGCGACAGTTATAAGGCCTGCTGGCCAATCATCGACCGATGGCGCAAGACTGGAGGTGACTACGCAGGGCTCTGTACGCCGGCGCCAGATCGATAAATCGATTGACCGAGTTCGCATCCGAGGCCCAGGCTTCAAGCGGACTTTATACGACCGACTTCAACAAATAGATCGACACCAATGAAATCAGATACTTTGTGTTCCAAAGTCTATTGCAACAGAAGTTGAGGGTTGTATACAGTGACTGACCGAAGAAATCGTATGGCATGCACGCCAAAGCGGAGTGAAGAATCTTTTCACGATTGTCAAAACAACGTACGACCCACAAACCAGTAGACTGCATCACTAATCGAAGACGGAGAAACGCTACTGTTGGGGAAGCCACAGATCCTTCAGTTTCGCCAAACAATGATCTAAAATCCCCTGGGAATATGCAACTGGTTTTCTCAAGCGGAGAGGTAATGTCTGAGCAGAGAGAGTACTTGGGACGCTACAGCTGGAGACCCCGATGTGGTACAAACTGACAGCTGCCAGAAAGGGCCGAACCTAGTCGCCACGCCCTGCTGTCTTCCCTGTGTTACGGACAGGAAGACACGGTTGTCGACACCCCGTCACGAATTGAGATGGATGTTATCAGCAAAACTCAGCTATACAAGTCCAGGTCAAACTCGAATCGAATTGTGTAGAGCATTCATCCATATGTGTTGCCATCTGAACACATCTCGCTTTTGTCCGAGGCATTTCTCTGCCCAACACGAAAGAAACTATCATTCATGAGTTATTTGCAAGCACTCAATATGTTAATGCACGTACAACGATGCAATCTCAAACAGTCGACACTGCATGCTGTCCAGTCTTTGTGTCTGGAAGACAGTGGGCCCATCTCCTTGACGCATTCATCTGACTCAACCCTCACCGGGATACATTATTTCCGAGACGAACTTTCCTCTCAAACCGACGGGCGAACTCACCCGCATAAGTCGACGATATCATGCCAGTACACCCATGGCTGATGCCATAAGTGCACCCCTGCGCAGGTCGCAGTATCAGACTCGCACGCGGTCCGATCAACTTCTTTCATCATCGACACACGCTCTCAAACCCGCGTATGCACAGGATCCGTTCATTCATCTCATTGTTTGCCTCAAGATCGACACCACCACTTTGTTCTGTGTCTGGCGGGGAACTGTTGCCGACAGCCGCCGTTACGGTGTCTGGCATTCTTGTTTAAGGCTTCGCTGCATCAAGGTCATTAATCTCTTCGGCGACAGGTTGAAGATGCGGCCACCTGTAGCCACTCAACCGACTTCAGCTCAGAAACAACAGTCCGATCGTCGATTTCGACGATTTCCACCGTATGTTCCACAGCGGGGTGAGAGCAGGGACGATGAATTGCGCGTGAATTCGTTTATTTTTATAGTAGACACACACAGCATCTACCGCA